TAGTTTCCTTGTGGATTTGCGTCGCTTTTGCGAGTGAGCGCGCCGCAGCCCGACGGAGTTGTCCATCTTTGCTGCTCAAAAATGGCACCATCAACTTGGGGACTTCGGCATTGAGCTGGAATCCGCTTTCTTCCCATATCTCGTTTCCAAGCTCTTGGTTTTCCTCTATATCGTCATGGCACGCTAGCCAAATTTCATCATTGTAGCTGAGTTCAGTCATATCAATGTCCGCGCTGATTGACTGCAAAACAGCAGTTCGAACACTAGCTTGTGATACTACGGCCCCCCGAGCAAGGACCAGCATCTCGTTGGCAGTGATATTTGGCGCAATGCACCGGCAGACATCAGCAAAACAATCTTTGATGATTTTATAGTGCTGAGCATGGCTTTTCATCGAATGAACAAGAACGCTCAAGAGCTCTGCGCGTGGTATTGATTCATTAGCAAAGGTGATGCTGTGAAAGGAGATGAACTCCACAGCCAGTACGATTTGAGTATCTCGCTCATCTGGAGCCTCACCAACGCCCCCTTCTCGCAAAACATAAAAGAGCAGCGGAAAAATGTATATCAAAGATACCGCATCAAAGGGTCGCTGCTCGCCAGCAAATCGAAGGCGATACAAGATTCTTGTTGCAAGATCGGCAAGTGGTTCGTCTCCATAGATTGCTGGCAACGATATATTTCGAAGCCTAAGCGTAGCGATGCCAATAGCAGGGCGAATTGGGCCAAGCCTAAGGCTCACTTTTTCAGAGCAATCAATGTAAACCTTGGAGGCAGCATCGCCTATGAGAAGACTCGCACCAGCTTCCATAACTGCAAGAAGCGACTTGATAGCAGATCCAAGCCAGAGTGTCGCATCAGTGGGGGGTCCAGCCGCAAGGGAACGAACAATGCCAACGCCTCGTAAAAGTCTAGCTTCAATTGATTGAACAGATGATCGTATTTGGGCCTCTTTCTTCAACTGTGCATTCACTTTAGACGTTTCCTCGGCAGTCAGCTTCCGTTGTGGGCCTTTCTTTGCCTCGAGTTGGGCCCTCAGTTCCTTCTCCCATTTCATGATATCGTAATCTTTAGTGTTCTTATTTGGAATATCTTCTTTACCCTTTTTACTAAGGACATCGACGAAGCAGATCCCTTCTTGGGTTCTAAAAATTGCGGTATCAACAGGCCCAATGGCCTTCACAGGCTCTGGATCCAAGTCATGGGTTATAAGATCAATGAGACGGGGAATGATGGTATCTGGGGCAACAAAGGCTAGTTCGGCGGCGGCATTATAAGCTGCAGTTCGAATGATTTCAATCTGGAGCATTCTTATTAGCGCCAAGATGATCGCTTGAGAATAGAGAAAACAATACCTTTTGGTCCGCTGAGGTGCGTTCGCTTATCTCCTTTAGTAATGGATCCGCATACTTCTTGGCAAGATTTCCAGGATCTATGCCCATTCGAATACACGTGTCTATCCAATTGGCTCGGGGTATTAGCTCTGTTCGGCAGAGAATCAGTAAAGAGCAGGCTTGCTGCTCCAATACTTCTACCGATACGCTGCCTCCAAGAGTTTCCAGCTCCTTGGAGCTGATACATATCGACCTCAGCACTCTAACTAAATCTCGCGATTCCGTAGCAGTTTCTTTGTCCCCAGCTTTAACAGAATGGGTCAAGAGAAACCACAGTCCATCAGCGATGATATTTGCTATCAAGCTGGGATTTTGAGCATAGAGGCTGGAAAGAGATTTGGCGCTTTCTTGTCGTACCTTTGACGGCACAGATGTAACTGCAACTATATATATCATGGCTTCTGACCACGCAAGAATGATGTCTGTCTGAGTCTTGCTATCCAATCCTGTTGCAGAAGAAGCTAGAGCAAGGCGGAACCAATGATAGTCCTCTTCGCTTCCAATCTTGTTATAAATCTTTGAATTTAAGAGAAAAGATTGTATGGAAGCTAACGCGTGATTTGTCGTAAATAACTTCAGCAGATCTTGCGCGACTTTTGTATCGGAAGGCCATCGCCGAATGACCGGATGTATAGCAGTGAGGATATAGGCTCCAACTATAGTCCCGCTCTGGGCAGCCAATGTGGGATTGGCAACAACTTCATGGAAGTTATCAATGAATTTTGGAATAACTGCCTCGGTGAAAGCAGACAGAGTGACCTTTGGATCCGAACCATCCATAGAACGAAGGATAGATCCTACACGAAGAAGCCATATTTTGCGGATTGCTGCTTTTTTATCCGCTAATCCCTTGAGCAACGCGCCTAGGACGGGCTGCGAGATTTCGCTATTGCCATCAATCAGGACAGTGACGGCTTGACAGAGTGTCAACGTTTCGGCGGCCAAAGCTACTTCATTTCCTTCCTTGCCAGCGACAATAGCCAAAAGAGCGGTCATCTTCTGAGCATTTGGGCAAGAGAGAGGAATTGCTTCTAGCATTTCTGCGTGAAGAATACGTTGATCAGCGGACGCCAATTTACCACTCTTCAAGGGGCCTCCGATCGCTTCGATAATTTTGTCGATGGCGTCTGAGTCGTGGCATTTGGAAATAATAGCTTGAAATGAGGCGAGAACTCCTGTCCGAATCAGAGCATTTGTCGATTTAACGTTCGAGAGTAACGGTTTCAGAAGCTTTTCTGTCAATACGTTCGAGAGATCGATTTCGGCGGGCAGAGCCTTCACAAGGCTTGGAAGAACACCGTCCAAGGCAACTTCAGGGGTACGGAGTAAACTTTTCTCTAGGGGTGGAACAATGCTGTTCTGAAGTTCGTCCAGTACCGCACAGCTGGAGAAAAAGTCGCCGAGTCCTTCGGCAATATGTTTCGGTATCGTCGTACGAGAGCCCAAGATCTCCCGGGTATAGAATTCGTAGTACATGGGCTTGAGGGTCTGCAGAGTAGGCAGTATTGTAGGTCGGCGGACAGTAACCCCGGCAATGACTCCCAGAATAATGGCATATTTCGCAGTAGGTGTGCTGCGTTTGGAGGTCAAAAGCGTCACAGCATCAGCCAGTCTCTGGGGTGCCAAAGTTGGAGAATTGAAAAGTTTCCGAAACCCTCTTCGGGTTACTATAATGGCTGAATGTGCTAGCGTAGGCCTTGAAGATGGCCCTACACACTTTTCAAGGACGTCTGCATATGAAAGTAAAATGTCGTTGCCGACTTTTCCCCACGAGTCTTCTGACAAATGTTGCATAAGAATGCTGCACCACTCGGCTAAAACAAAAGCACTGGACGTAGCTATTCCCTGCTTCGAAGATTCCTGTCGCAAACATGTTGCCAATTGTTCCAGTGTTGAGGAGCCATCATCTCTCGTAACGATCGATACCAGGCATTTTTGAGCTGCCAATCTAGATTCACGATCCTGGTAGGAAGGATGAGTGTTGAAAACCAGTTGCAGAGCTTGCGAAGCAAATTCGCCGTCAGACGCTAAAGGGACGGTCAGCTTATTCGAAAGCTATCAAAGTGACACAACTTGGACATTACATTTCTTGACCACTGCCTCAGTCAAATGCTGCAGCTCGGCGATGCGCACACCTGGCGACGCCGAGGCTAGAGCTTGGGCGGACAGAGACAAGTCGGCATAGTCTTCGGCAGCGTTGCTGCTGAGAGCATGATCAGACATATCGACTCACAACCCTGGCGAATGATTGCGGACAATCATCGGGGCCCTTGAAATTTTCGATAACTCGTTGGCGATAGAGCTTGGGAGGATAATTCTGTGCAACACCTCATTAGCAGATGCTAGCAGCAAGCCCCGCAGCTGCCACAAGAAGAACACCCCGCGCTACGCCTTGGTAGGAAAAGCGAGGTACCAGCTTAATATCGTACTGTCTACTACTATAGTGCGTCTATAGCTCACCTACAACTTACAATTCCTGGATATGAACTAGGTTGAAAATGATTATCCAAAGCTATAACAAGCTTTAATAGGCTTCAAATAAAGCATACTCGCTGCATTAAAATTGCAATGTAAAATCTTGTTATTAGGTACACTATTGGGTATTTCGTATGCCGCTGTATGGTAGGTGGCATCGTACTACCTAGTAAGTAAGGTAGGTAGGCAGGAAACAAGCACTCAGATTTTATAGTCTCACTCTGCAATGAGGAATCGGCGTGGGGGTTACAGAAGTCGTTGACAATAATCAGTTACACTAGGTATATGAGCTGACAGATACATATCGACTGTAGTTACATAAAAATATTGTGAGTTAAAGGAGAACATAATCAGGATCCATCACCCGACGGCCAGCGTACCACTCTGTTGCCCCTACATACAGCTTACTTGGAGACCCAAAAGACCCTGACAGAATCGTCACGAGACATCCAGCGCCTAATATTAGTAGTAGCTTAGCATAGAGTTCAGCTTCGTCTTCTAGACGAGCTTTCTTATCCTGCTGCCTAACGCCCCCAAATCTATGCACAGTAGCTTTCGTGCCCGCACGCGCTAATTTTTGCTATCCACCCAAGACTGGAGATGCGGAAACCCAGAACTTTGTGGTTGAATCAAATGTCTGCGGCAAACTCCGTCAAAGGCAGCATCGTGAGATTAAGGGGGTAGGGCTATCAGAAAGAGGGCAAAGAAGGAGTGTCAATTGAAAGAAAAAAAAAAAAAAAAAAAAAAAAAAAAAAAGCAAGCACTAGACTATCTGTTAGATATGTGGGCACAGGGCTCAATCTCAATCCCGGCGTCTTTTCCGAATTCCAGCACAGATGATGAGCAGCAACAATGAAAAATACGCCGCCCGGATCGACATGGCAGACAGGTGGCAACGCCGAAAGGCTGGCATCCACACCAGCCTCTGCAGCAGGAATGACGGCCATGGCCATCCACGTTTTTCCATGGAGCATCCTTAGTCGCCTCCACCCCAATTGATATTGCCGTATAAGCGACATCGGGAGATGCACAACGAATGGTCTGTAGGCCTACGCCGCCGGCATATATATATCGTCCTCTCCTCTCGCGTCGATCTCTGACCGTGCACAACCTCCTCTCAACGACATAGCCATGGCTTCGACGGTGAGAGCTCCCGCGTTCATGCTGCGAGCCGCAGCTCGCCGAGCCTTTACGTTCACATCAGCCAATCGCCTGCCATTGGCCGCAGCAAGAAAGCTCCATACGGTGCCGCCGCGACAGGACAAGCCCGGCAGTCACTCTCGAACAGACAGCGATGTTGAGATTGAACACCCCGCCGAGCATGAGCTCCCAAGCAGCAAGCCTGTCATTGGCACCGGTGGCCAGTACGTCAAGCCCACGCTTGCTAGCTTCTCCCTTGATGGAAACGTCGGCGTCGTCACTGGAGGAGCGAGGGGCCTCGGGCTTGTGATTGGCCAGGGAATGGTCTACTCGGGCTCTGATCTAGCCTTGGTTGACATGAACAGTGAGATTCCAAGCACCTTTCCTACGTCATTGTGCTGGAGACGTCTAACACGGCAGCAGAGGAGGAGGCTGAGAAGCAGACAAAGCTGCTTGTAGATGCATTTATCAAGGAAAACCCCAATGCAGAACGGTTAGTGGCTCTCTTGATGCACAGTATCCGTGTCCGGCTACCAATTTTCTAACACGTCTGGCTGCTCCTTTCTAGCATTCCCAAAGTGACGGCACATTACGCCGATGTAGCGGATCCCGACTCTGTCGAGGCCTGCATAGCTGAGATTATCCAGCAACATGGCAAAATAGACAACTTGGTCACCTCGGCTGGCTTTACTGAAAATTTCGAGGCCGTCAAGTACCCAATTGATCGACTTCGAAAACTCTGGGCTGTTAATGTGGATGGCACTTATCTGTTTGCTACCTCGGTTGCCCGCCACCTAATGGAGAGAAAGAGCCCTGGCAGCATGGTCATGATTGGTAGCATGTCAGGATCCATTGTCAATGTTCCTCAACCTCAAGCGTAAGTGATGCTGATGTGCTTTCGCACTTTTCACCCCGACATTGCCGCACAAACATCTCGCAGAGGAAGCTTTAGTAGACTAACGAAGAACATCAGGCCTTATAATGCTTCGAAAGCTGGAGTTCGTCATCTGGCAGCGTCGCTCGCTGTTGAGTGGGCTCATGCTGGCATTCGGGTTAACTGTATCTCGCCAGGATACATGCTGACCGCATTGTAAGTTACCATTCCTGGGCCTCTTCTCGCCGCAGAAATAGCCATTTAACTCATATCTTTGCTTAGGACCGAGAAAATTATGGACGAGAATCCAGAGCTCAAGCAGAAATGGGTGTCGCTCATTCCCCAAGGCAAAATGGGCCGGCCGCAAGACCTCATGGGCCCTGTGACATTCCTACTCTCTGATGCTAGCCAATACGTAACAGGTGCTGATGTTCGTGTGGATGGCGGCTACACTGTCACATAAAATTCCTAAAGTTCAGGAGCCGGGTCAGACCTTGTCGTTGCCCATGGAAAAGAATAGTTTTGCCGTATCCACTTAGGAAAAAAAATTTAAAACTTTTACATATTAAGACACGCATCACACATGGTGCAATATCGCCCAGGCTTACTGTTAGCGACCCAAATACCAATGGATGATCTATAAATACAAATTATCATCCTTACTGGCCCGGGGAAACTAGTCTTCCTTGAGCTCTTGAATTGTGCTCCCACCCACCGGCCAAAGCTGGTCCACCGCTGGCCTTGGCATAACTCTCCATCCTTGCTTCTAATTCGGGTCTGAAATGACGAATGAGACCCTGTATCGGCCAAGCAAAAGCCTCGCCGAGAGCTAAAAGAAGAATAACTTGTTAGAAGGGATGAACGGCCATAATAAAGAGCAGAGCAGCACTTACCACAGATGGTGTGACCCTCAACCTGTTTTGTTAGCTCCTGAAGCATATCGATCTCTCTCTCTCTTCCCTGGCCCTTCTCAAACCTGCTCATGATCTGCTCAGTCCACTTGCTACCTTCACGGCACGGTGTGCACTGGCCGCAGCTCTCGTGTCGGTAGAAATGGCTCAAGCGGCTAATGGCGCGCACAACGTCGGTGCTCTTATCCATGACAATGACTGCCGCCGTGCCCAGACCAGATTGGCTATCTTTCAAGGCATCAAAGTCCATCAATTGATCGTCGCAAACATTTTTTGGCAGGATTGGGGTCGATGAGCCACCGGGGATAACAGCCAGCAGGTTATCCCAGCCGCCGCGGACTCCGCCGCAGTGTTTGTCAATGAGTTCACGAAGAGGGATGGACATTTCTTCTTCAACAGTGCAGGGGTTGTTCACGTGGCCTGAAATGCAGAACAGTTTAGTTCCTTGGTTACGCTCGCGGCCAAATCCTGCGAACCAATTTCCTCCGCGGCGACAAATAGTTGGCGCAACGGCAACGGTTTCCACATTGGCAACAGTTGAGGGGCATCCGAAAACACCAACGGCGGCAGGGAAAGGAGGCTTGAGTCGTGGCTTTCCGGGCTTGCCTTCTATGGATTCAATTAAAGACGTCTCCTCTCCACAGACATAGGCGCCAGCTCCCCGGTGGATGTAGACATCGAAATCGTAGCCGGAACCACAAGCGTTTTTGCCAATCAAGCCATCGGCGTAAGCTTCGTTGATGGCATTCTGGAGAATGGCAGCTTCATGGTAGAATTCGCCACGGATATAAATATAAGCGGCGGTAGCATTCATTGCTCGACCGGCAACAAGACAGCCTTCAACCAGTTTATGCGGATCTTTTCTCATGATTTCCCTGTCTTTGCAAGTGCCAGGCTCGCCCTCGTCGGCATTGACCACAAGGTACCGCGGCTTCGTATCCTTTTCCCAGCCTTTGAAATTCATGAAAGACTGTTTAGGTGTCAGAATGTCGTTAAAGTCGCATTGAAGGTCGAAGGTCGTGACATACCCACTTGAGACCAGAGGGGAAACCGGCACCACCTCGCCCGCGTAAACCAGATGCCTTGATCTCGCTGATAATCCATTCGTCGCCCTTCAAAAGAATTTCTTTAGTCTTGTGCCAGTCGCCCATCTTCTTAGCACTCTGGAGGTTAACGGGGAGTCGTCCGTAGAGATTCTGGAAGATCCGGTCCTGATCTTTCAGCCCTCCGTATGTTCGTGCGGCGCCGCCATCTTGAACGGTAGCTAAGCCTCTCGTAACGCTTCGAGAGAGACTTGTGCTCTTCTGAAACGTTGCTCTGGCAGACAGCATGGTGATGTTGCGATGCGTTGGCAAAGGGGGGGCAAGATGGCAGAGTGAAAGCTGGTGGAAGATTGGTGGCAAGACTTTGAATTGGATTTGATAATGGAGCTACCTGATTGGCTAGTTTGCTGCTTAGTGTTTCTCATTGAGAGATAAAGACAGGGACACAGCTTAGTGGGATGAAAAGCACCAGTTAATGTAAAGTAATAATATTTTTTAAAACATATAATTTAATTTTCAATTCTCTAAGAGATACCAGTTACTTTCTTATTGAAGTTTAACTAAAGAGAACTATAACGGTACTGATATGAATATGTTACTATCTAGTTGTGTTTTGGTAGGTATATTCTCTGCTTATGACGCCTAATAGGTACTTGCGCCTTGAGCTCGGCATTAAACAACCTAATTGTGGGGTCCTTCCATCCATCCCTGATTCGAGTGACATTGATATTGCAGCTTCGTTGTACTAGCATTGCTCACGGTCTAGCACGCGTCATAGCATGCGCACAATGTTTGAAGAGGCCGGTTTGTTTGTGTTGTTGACCTAATAAACCAGGTTTAATAGCGACCGTCTTTCTGGACGTCAAAATGGATCAAACGAACGTGGCCGGCTCCAACGCAGCTGCCAACAGGGCGGAAAGGTTTGATGACGAGAAGCGCCGAATCATTGAGAGCTGCTTCAACAAAAAGGACACAGATGGCTCGCGTAAGGCTTGGCTTTCTTGTAAAATTTGTTCAAAACGAGTCTTGAGCTGACTTTGACTGTAGTGCAAGAGACTTATATTACTCATATCCGCGTTACCGAGTTCTCTTCACATTCGTCGATGCCGCCTCCTCCTGAGGCTCGAGGTCATAACGCTGAGAAACCCAGAGTAATCGTCGTAGCGGTACGAAAATCTGGACGAGTTCGGGTGCACAAATCCAAAGAAAACAGCAGTGGATCTTTCTCAATTGGCAAAACATGGAATTTAGACGACCTCTCACACATAGAGTCCTACACAGGCCCCAAGGTCCCCCCAAGTCTACGGGATCGGGCTGGGGAAACCGGCTTCCTCGTCACGTTAGGAAAGCCTTATTTTTGGCAAGCTCAGACTGAAAAAGAGAAGAAATTCTTCATTGCAAGTCTGATCAAGATTTATGGCAAATATACAGGGGGCAGGTTGCCCGAATTATCGGGATTCGACCAGAAGGAGTTGGATCAAATTCTAGGGGCTGGCAAACGACCAACGGGGGCCTCGCCTCGGCAACAAACGACCGATTCAGCAGCCAGCCAGCAAAGTATCACCGCATCCTCAAGCGCCCCTAAAGCTAGCCCTGGAGAAATTCCTCGACATCCTAGGCCTTCCCCTCTTTCCCGACCTCCACCGAACGATACCATGTCTCCTGCGGGAAGTTTCGACTCTACTGCATCTAGAGAGCGATCAGTCCCCCGATGGACGGCCCAGAACAACAGAAGCCAGGATTCTATTCCTAATTCTGTTGCAACAAAGAGCGACGACGTATCAAGCCTTCCTCCGCGGTCCCGTAGTGGCATGGCCGGGCCAAGCGGCCTCAGTGGGCTAGGTGAACTTCGAAGTGTTCCAGAACCAACACACGATCCTATACCTGCAGCAAGTCGCCCACTGCAAGAGAGCAAGCCACCTCCTGAAAGAAGGCGTCCTCCTATGGATCCGTCAAGGCCGCAAGATAGGGACTTGGTTCCTGCTCCGTTAATGAGCTCAGCAGCTAAAAGAGAACCGGTGGTACCTCCACCTCGGAGTTCCGATCGCGCTCCCCCCCAAGCAGTCCCAGCGGCGCTACAGCCAGGGGTGGCTTTTGGTAGGGCTCATGATGAAAGCCCGCTTCCCGTACCAGATACTTCGGACGGCGTGCAACAAAAGCCAGGGAACGTTGGTATTGACAGCGACACAAAAGTCTTACCTGCTGCCTCGCTAGTAGATACAAATATCCCTGACCAACCAAGTGCAAACAATGCCACAGCTCCTGAGAAGATAGTAAGCGAGGAGGAGGCTCGGCCTGGTTTAGGCCCTATGATAAAATCAAGAAAGTCTATAGGAGAGGCTACAGAAGAGGAGTCTCGGCCTGGCTTAGGTCCTATGATAAAAGCCAAAAAATCCAAAGGAGACGTTGCTGGTGCTTTCTGGAAGGCTGCATCTGCTGCAAATGCTTTTCGTCCTCGACCAGGAGGAGCCGGAGAACGTCTACGACAAATTGCAGCCAAGGCAAGTGAAGGTCCTGACGGTATCACTAGTGTCGTCCCTGCGCCACCTAGACCTGTATCTCGCGATACAAATCTGCCGTCTCTTGAGCTTCCAAAGCCGCCAGCAGGAGACTTGCCAATACCAGAGGTCAAAATATTATCGGCAGAGTTAGAGAACCAAGCAACTTCACAAGAACTAACCAAGGAGGCCAACGAAGTTGAGAAAGACGCAACCATTCCGAAAGAAGCCTCTCGTCACCCTGCGGTCGTTGGACAAGACGCCAGGTATTTCCAGAAGCTGGGTGTTGATCCGAACCTCCTTGATGATCGGGGTGAGGAATTCGGCAAATGGTTAGACTTCTTCGGCTGGGTTCCCGGTGATCAAATGCACTGTCTGAGCATGGACGATATAAGCAACGACCTTGAGCGAGAATTAAACACAGTTCAGGCGGGAGGCTGGCTGGCACGCTTCCGGGAAGAAGACGAAAGGGTGTACACTATCAAGCGGGGAATTGACCTCGCTATGAGCGAATGTGAAGAGTTGGATAACTTGCTCACGCTATATTCCGTGGAATTATCGGTAAGTTCAATCGACGTCAGGTAATTAAACGCTAGCTAATACCTTGAAGACCTTATCAGATGATATCGCCTATATCGAAGCCCAAGGCCAAGGTTTACAGGTACAAACAGCCAATCAAAAATTGTTAAGGAAAGAACTGGAGTCTCTCCTAGAAACATGTGCTATTACCTCCAACGATCTACAGGCGCTCCAACAAGCGCCCCTGGACAATCCTCGTGGCTTAGAGGAAGTCGAGCTCTCGCTTGTAACGCTCTTTAGAGCTATGACGAAAATCGACCCGTCTCTTGGAGTCGATGACACTGCAAAGGCTATGGACTCTGTCCTGGATGCAGACAATGCCTTGGGACTAAACACTAATTACGGCGAGATGAGGATCGTGCAAGAAAAGAGAGAAATGTATCTGCATGAGAGCAGGTACTTTATGAAACGGCTACTGGACTTTATGACCCTACAATTCGGGGAAGCTTACGTTGAAACCAAGCGAGCGTTGGACGGTGCACTCTCCAAAAAGATTGATCCTGCGCATCATAGCGTTGGACGAGATCTTTTGTGGAAGTATAGCCCCTTGATGCTCTACGCGAGAGATGCAGATCTAGAAAATTGGAGCCATCTTATGCAGGTCTACCAAGACAAGAGCTCTCCCCTATATAAGCATGAGTTTCAGCACGTCGTTGCGCTATGGCGAAAAAATGCAAGGAAACTTACTGGAGAAGAAGCAGAGATCATATTCTCGTCCCAGGTTGAGAAACAACAAGAAGGCGTAGCTACAGCAGCTCGAAAACTGACAGTTAAGCGTAGCCAAACATTGGCTAAAGCGTTACGCTCTCCTTTGGCGGATGGCGGCAGTACCAAAGTGCACGTTGACAGGAATGGCGCCGATAACAGAAGCCTACCTTACGAAATCTTCTCTGGCGTTCTGGATGATCTTTTGCCTCTGGTCGAAATGGAACAAAATTTCATTGTTGATTTCTTCCACGCAACGACGCTGGAACAAACAGACTTTCCTGAAGCTGTTGCGGCATGTCCTCCCCAAGATCGCCGCGGGGGCGATTTAAGACGCCACAGGCTCATGGAGCCTGACCGTGAGCTTGCCCGTCGCGTTACGCGATCCATGGAGACCATTTTTGCGTTTCTCGAAGCGGAGTTGCGAAGGCTCATGGAGTGGGCTATTGCTCAAGATCCGCTGTAAGTATGAGTATCACTTGCATGTCGTGCATGGCTGACTAGGACACAGGCAAGGAGTTGGGGTGCTTGCTACACTCGAAAGGAGGCTGTCCGAAATGGGGCAATCTAATCAGGATTTCCTCAATGCCCTTCTTCAGAAATTACATGTCTCACTGGAGGGACAATTCAGAAAGTTTGTTGACGAACAGATCCGCGCTATTGAGGACACGAAGGTCAAGATCAAGAAGCGCAAGGGCGTCATTTCTTTCATTCGAATCTTTCCCGCATTCATGACCGCTGTAGAGAACATGATCGCCGGAGTTGATCACAATCAAATTCTGCGGCGGACAGTTGATCGGGAGTATGATCGCATCTTGAAGACAATGTTCGAGTCATTAATGGTTATTGCACGCGAGCACCCTGCAGTCGGAGTTGCAGGCGGCACGGCTGATCCGGAAGACAAGGAGGCTCTCAACTTTCACATTCTATTGATTGAAAACATGAATCACTTTCTTGAAGAGACCGACACCCGCGGCCTAGATGTCCTGGAAGGCTGGAAAACGCAAGCAAACACAGAATATCATGAACACATGGCATTATATCTGAACACAGTAATGCGCCGGCCTCTGGGGAGACTCCTGGAGCAAATTGAAAATATCGAAGCGCAGCTGCAAACTGGCAAATCGGCTATGGCGATTGCTCGACAACCTTCGAACAACAAAGCAGCGTTTAACAAGGTTCTAGGCTCCTATGATTCAAAGGAGGTGCGAAAGGGCATTGAAACGCTACGGAAACGTGTAGAAAAACATTTCGGCGATGCAGATGACCCAACTCTCAGCCGTGGTTTGGTTATCAGGGTCTTAAAAGAATGCGAGGAATTCTATGTTGGTGTTGAAAACAGGATAGGTAGGATCATAACCGATGTCTACAGCGGTGAGGTAATCTTTGAATGGCCAAGGGCCGACGTCAAGGCTGCCTTTCGGTAATTAAATATACAATGTATTATGCATAATGTCTAGCTAGCTACATTGATAGGGGTGTATGTAAAGTCGCTGGTGTAGGCATACAGTCGTTAATATAGGCATCAAGTCGCTGGTGTAGGCATCAGGCACCTAGTAATAGCCTGCGGTTTCGCTTAATAACCGAATTCAGGCCTTTTTCAAGCTTCTCGGTCTCTCTCTTTGCTGCTATCAAAGCAGCCTCCGCATCCTCAACGCTCATTAGCGGCATGTTTCCAATTGAACTTGCAGCCGCGCCTTTACTAATTTCATCCAGAGACATTCCTGGAGCTGCAAAATCTTGTATAGCTCGAGCACTTTCTGGTGTGCTGTAGATCCCTACTCCGGCAGCAGCATCTGGGCCGTAAAAGTATGGTGCCAGAGAATTAAGGCTCGCAGTGTCTCGAGTCGAAGAAGCCCCTTTGGGAAACCCCATGCTAGTAGCACCGAGGCTTAGTCTGGGCAGCACATACTGATTGATGTAGCTCAGGGCATCCTCTCGCTGGAGCTTGCCGATAGGATCTTGCGATTGCGGCTGAACAGTAGAAGGGAAAATATTCGGCCGTCCATTCGGGACTGCTCGACCCTTAATGAGTGAAAATGCCCCGCTGCTCGGCTGATGCCTTGGTGCCACAAACGCTGCAGGATTCTCAGCCGTCGCAGCAATGGCCGTTTGGAGGGCTAGGAATGTATCCTCTTCTTCTGGAGTTAGCCCACGGATGCAATCTCCGTGAGGCGTGATCAGCATGCGGCTGCCGTCTGTATGGAATTGCTTACGCACCGGCCTCCCGGCACGCAGTGCAGCAAGATCAGCGTCTTGCATCTCGCCGCATCTGCAGGAACATTCTTTGCAATCCTCTTTTTTACCTATGGTATTTGAGGCATTGTTGTCTAGCCTGGATGAAATGCTCGAGACAGGCTTCAATAGTTGCAATTTATCTATAGCAGCAGTCCAGAGAGATTCTTTGATATCAGCAAAGACAGATGCGGGGCTGGATTGTGGCCTTTCCAGAGCTTTATCGGCTGATTCAGATGTCCCAGGCAAGGATGATACGGGTAGCGCAGTGGCTGTTTCTTGTATCTCTTTCTCCGAGCTCCCAGAGCTTGGAGTGCCACCGTGACTATATCTCGTGCCCTCTATTTTCGAGTCTCCTAGGTGATTATCGTCCGTTGTTGGCTTTCTATTGCCCTTGGAATGTGTTTCCATTTCTTCTCTGGGCGGTTCGATAGGAGTTGCTGCTGAAGATGAAGCATTGGCTTCTTTGGGAGTCTTTTCCTTCTTCTGTTTTTTCTTCCTTCCAATCACAGGGGCGTGTTCCGTTGTTTCTGTCTTGGGTGTTTCAGCCAAAATCTTTGTTTCTTGTTTCAAAACATCTTTACGCTGCTTGCGCTGTTGACTTTTTGTGGTTCCTCGTACTGGAGCACTGCCAATTTTGGTGAGGGGAGGGGATCCAGCCCGGGAGATGGAAACTGAGACTGAAGTGATAGAGGCGGTGTCACTAATCATTTCGCTAGCTGGAGTGCCAGGTCGGTGCGAGTTTCCTGGCTTCGCCGGCGCAGACACCGCGCTGGAGATGGGGGCCGGTGACGGTGAAGCTGAGCGAGCTTCAATCTTTATTGATGAAGGAACTACTCTCAACGTTTTCGGCATGCCTCGCGATGATGTTATGACCGTGGCACTACCAGCTCCAGAAGGAGTAGGCAAAGGCGGAAATCTTGAGGTTTCGGCAAACTCATCCAACCCTTCAGCCCCTTCTTTTGGTTGGAAGAGAGTAGCTCCAGAGTTCGGAGCAGACTGTGTCAAGGATTTAAGCTGGCTGCCTTTTGTAGATTGAAATTCTGTGTAAAGACCATCTCTTTGATCTTCTCGCGGGCTCTCTGAAAAGTTTTCATGAGATTTCTTTGCTGATGGTACGGCTTTCAACATGGCAGCTTTAGCGGAAATGGAGCCGGTACCAGCACCTAAAGCCTCGTTCAATCTTGGTGTACCTAAAGCAGGGAAATCTTCGTCTTCGAGTATAGGCCCTTTGGTTGGTGCAGGCCAAGAACCAATCACTGCAGCAGGCACAGGGTCTTTTGCCGCGTTGGATTTGGTGCGGAGATCTACATCTTGGTCAAGTACATTCGATTGTGGAGCCGTTTTCTTGGACAGAATTGGCTCATTAACCAAACCAGGGGGTGGAACAGGTCGCATAGCCAGCGGCACTTGCGCACTCTGTAGCTGGCCCTGGATCTGTATATCTATGGGATTGGGCACCTCGGATATACTTAAGTAGGAAGTTTGGTGAAAACGGGGCTCGGCGTTAGTTACCGTCGGTGACGAATCGTCTGAGACGAGTGCGTCCACTGATAATTTGGCTTCGTCTGATAATTGAAAGTCATTGTCTAAAGAACACACATTAGCAAATGTGGAATACAACGAAGAATTCTAAACACAATGTAGTGGAGGGAGAGCGGGATAACAGGCTACGGATTAGGGCTCTTCATAATACAAAGACAAGAAAGTGTCATCCTACGACCTCCATCATCGTCTCCCGCGGGGAATAACGAGGGGAAGGTAGATAAAATTTGAAGATTTGACAGTATGATGCTATATTGCGGTCAAGGAGACGCCGATGGTGCTGACCTCGTGCAATCCGTTAACATACATGGGGGACTCTGTGTGGGAAGACGATGATGGTTTGCCTTTGTTGGACACATTTAGCTTGCGCCAGTCCATATGAACCAAAGAAAAGAAAAAAAAACCTCAGCCCGTTAAAAAAAATCAAGTATAAGAATAAGGAAACGAAATGAAATATGAAAACGGGGGTTAACCATCGCCAAATTTAAATGCGCCTGGCTAGAGAGAGAAGTATGTTCCTCTAGCCGTTATCGTAAAATTATGCCCGCTGGAACCAGTGTATGCAATGCAAATCCCTGAAAATTATCTCCAGCTTAAGATGCAAGAGTTCTTGAACGCCTTTCCTAGTACAGCATAAAGTTGTGCAGTGAAAAACAAAATATCATGTAATGCCCTTTTGTCATGCTACCACCGAGCATAACTGGAATTATACATCATATTCGGGACATACCCACCTTGGCTCTGACCGCTAAAAACTCCTTGATTGACTCCGGTGTTGCTTTGCGATTGGTGCTGCATCCTCGCCTGCAGTATACTCGGGTCCGCAAGATCCACTAGACCACTCCCCCCAGAGGAGGAAGTGTTAGCATGTCTATGCTTCTTCCCCTTCTTCTTCTGCTTCGAGCCAAAGTCTTGGAATGCTCCGGGGTGGTTACCGTAGAGCGATGCCAAAAGGCCAGAAGTAGGAGCAGGGGTAGAGGTTGAGGGTGGTGGATACTGATTAGAAAAAGAAGAAATCATGTACTCACGCTTTCCACCATCATGAGGCTGGCTACCGCCGCCTCGGCTTCTGCCAATTAAACTCTGCAGTAAATCGCCGGACGAATCTTTCGTCGCAGTGCCGAATGCTGAACCACCAAATCCTTGGCCGAAAACGTTCGGTGGCGTATTAGTGGACTTCAGTCCAGGTGGAGGGGCAGGCATAGAGCTCCCGAAAAAGTGACTGTTGCCCGAGGATTGTAACGAGGCAGGTAGCATTGACGACTGCTGGCCCATTACTCTAGGGTTCGCGGTGAATTTGAGATTGGTTGCTGCTGGCGGGCTATCAGCCATAAAGCTAAATCGAGATGATTGACGATTATGACCTTGACTTGGGAATGTAGTCTGGCCGGACAGGTTAGAAGGAACTTGTTCGCCGAATCCTGACTGAGGCCGAAGTGAAATCAGCTGCTGAGGGTTGATGCCTCGCCCCATCTGGTTTGTACCAGGGTTGAAATTCGAGCCACTAAGAGCAGGGCCGAATAAAGTATCGGCATTGCTCCTTTGAATAGGGGGGAATGTGCTGATGTGTCGGTGCTCAAATGCTTGCCCATCGCCAGCCATATCTCGCTCTTCTGGCTCGCCACCAAGAGCAAGGCTGCCACCAGTCTCCGCCTCGCTCTCCGAATGGACTTGGCCCTCTGCGGCATTCTTCTGGTCACCGCTAATTCGGGCGTCGTCATCCTCACGCATTGCTTTTCGTTTTTCGCCACCTCGAATATCGAACAACGGAGGGTCTAGTTCATTCGCCTGTGGGGTAACAAAGCTTGAAAATGTGCAGTTCTGTAGCGCATGCAGAATGGTCGCCAGCGAGCTCTTTGGCGGCAGTTCCTGTGATTCTTCAGTAGGATCTTTACTTGACGCTTTATCATCTTCCAGCGGCCGAGATGCAGGGGAGGAGGTTTCAGTATCTTCCACGGCTTCTTGGGCAACCTCCGTCGTTGTAGGTAAGGAGGCTGAAACAGCAGGACTAGAAGGAGCGCCGCTGGTTGCATGACTGCCTCTCCGGCTTCGCTGAGGATTTCGCGCCCAATTGGCTGACGAAGGCAAGGCAGACCCATCTAGTCCATAATCTGAGCCATCTTTGCTCGAAGACCGTGCCATGGGCTGTGACATGGACGTTAAGGTTGGTTGTGAGACCTGTTGCCGAGGGGTTGTACGGAAGGAGCCATTGTTTCCGCTGGGTAGCGGCCTTTGTGTGTGGATGCCGTTCATAGATGATAGATCTTGGCGCGTGTAGCTATCCTCTTCATCGCCTTGCTCGTGTAGGAACATACAGCCTGGATTATTGCATTTTTCATTCTTGAGCCATGCTGAACAATATTTCGTCGTTCCATATTGAGCTTTCAATATCCTATCCCCATTCTGTGACCCATGGACTGCTTGAATGCATCGAGTTGCTTCTTCGGGCTTTTCAAAAGTGACGTAGATGCCCAACGAATGATGTTGACCATCTGAGCTCTTTCGATTACTAATTGAAATCTTTTGAATAGCTCCGTATTGACCGAAGAACTCGGGCTTCCTGAGGGTCTTAAGGAGTTCATCTTCACGAACGGTGGGTGCTAGACCTGTAATATAAACCAGATTCTTCTGCACAACACGTACTCCAATAAGGTTCTTGCGATTCTCTTTCTCGGCCTCGCGTTTCTGAGCCTCCTTTTGACGTTGTTCTTGAACTCGCTTTCTTTGGTTTTTTTGTATATTAGCACGGAATTCGGCAACTCTATATTTCGTCAGCATCGGTTATCAGGAGGGCAGGACAGGAACTATCGTGGATATGCAGCGTACTCTTCTGTCGTCACGACTTTCCACTGTATAGTTTTTTCATCGTAAGGTCGTCGACACGCAGGACATAGGCCGTTCATATTATTCTTGATGTTATTGAAACAAAACTGGCAGACCTGTATGCAAAATCAGCGAAGTTCTCTCGATAGTTGGATGTATTTCATGATTACCTGGTAGCCACACGGGCAAGGTCGAAAGTTTCGATCTGACAAATCAAATTCTTCAATGCAAAGAGGACTATGGCGATTTGTTAAGAGGTTTCGAACGCAGAGTTGTCAAGGCTCCTTAAGCGGAGCACAGGGGCTGACATACCAGACATCTTCTTCTTCTTCTATGAAAGAATCTTGGGGTGCCATGTTTGCGTTGAGGACTGTCCTTGGGCCTCTAAGATACAACAAAAGTGATTATGCTGCCAAACGGTAGATAGCTGAGGATGTTTATTCAGAAGTTGGTGTGGGACAGGCCAGCCGCTTGGTACAAGAATCAAAGGCCCATACTCCACGTGATATCTTAGTGCCTCCAATTCTTCACTTCTTTCCGCCCCGCCATTCAACCTAGCGGCAAATCATCGGAGATTCAGTCCACTCCGTGGAAGCAATGAGTTAATTGCCTTCTTACCTTCCTCCACCAGTTCGTGAGAAGTCCTATGGTCAGTACGCTCACCAGGTCCTTGATTCACTATGGCAACCAAAGTTTCATGGAGAGCCGCTCCGGGCTCAATTCTGGAGCCGACGAAAGCCATGGCACGAGCTCGCACTGGACAAGTCGCCCGTGTACTATCGACCTCTCCTCTCCGAATGGTCGCAATGCCACAAGATGCTCATAATATGAGAAAAGCTCCGAGAGAGCCAATTGGAACTCTTAAGGCGCCAGTTGTCAACCCAACAGCCAAATATCAGAGCAAGGCAGACAATCTCCATCGATACGGCACCTGGCTAATGGGATGTCTCCCCAAATACGTCCAGCAGTTTTCCGTTTGGAAAGACGAGCTCACCATCTACATTTCTCCAGCTGGCGTTATCCCCGTGTTTTCCTTCCTCAAGTGTTCGTATACCACTGCCTATATACATTGTCATAGACTGACCTTGTATCCAGATAACACTGCTGCAGAATTCACCCAGGTTAGCAGCGTCACCGGGTGCGACTATCCGACACGCAGCAAGCGCTTCGAGGTCGTTTACAATTTGCTTTCCGTCCGATATAACTCTCGCATTCGAGTGAAAACCTACGCCGACGAATCATCGCCTGTTCCGAGTATCACAAGCTTATTTGGAGGCGCTAATTGGTACGAGCGTGAAGTATACGATCTGTATGGCGTCTTCTTTACGGGCCACCCTGATTTACGGCGCATCATGACGGATTATGGATTTGAAGGCCATCCTTTACGGAAAGATTTCCCGCTCACGGGATACACGGAAATTCGGTATGATGAGGAAAAGAAGCGAATTGTCACCGAGCCGCTGGAGCTTACACAGGCATTCCGAAACTTCGAAGGCGGATCCAGCGCTTGGGAGCAAGTTGGCCAAGGCGAAGACTTCAAGCCTGAGTCCTTCAAACTGCCCGTACCCAAACCAGAGGAGAAGAAGCAATAGATACTTTGCCCCGAGCACAGTTGAAGCAGGCACTGTATCATTAGACGTAAAAAAACACAATTCTTTATTCCTTCTTGATTCAATGATCCGGTCTCTTGATATGCTATGGTCTGATCCCGATTCTATCTGTGTAGACTAGGCTATTCTAAGACTGCTCGAATCATAGGCAATGCTATTGCGGTGACAGTTGGTTCGAAATTTTGCCATCATACTCTTATAAAGGAGGTAAAAGGCTATGATATAAATCTCGTTCCACATCAAGTCACCTGTAGAATTTTCAATATAGGCAAAACAGGCATTAGATAATATGCTAAGGCTGTTCCGCAATTGTTAGCCACTCAATCCAAAGATGCCATATTGACAAGTGAATGTGAAGTTCAGCCTCAATGCATTTAGTAGTAACAACCAAAGGTCATTCAACATCTATACCCACCAAGTACAGCCACAATATTGCATCTCGGCTTCGCGTACCCTTCCCATGAGCTCCTTATATAAGGGACATAACGCATGCCAGGCTCCAAAAACGCCACTGTATACTAGATTTCCGCCATGGAAAAAAAAAAAAAGAGAGAGAGAGAGAGAGAGAGAGAGAGAGAGAGAGAATGAAAGTTAGAAAACTTAAGATTTGCACGCCATCTTGACCACTGAACATGCTCGTGGCTTTAAAATAAGGGTAATATTTCGTGAGATTGAACACATAGCCAACCTTGCTGAGGTGCATCACCATATACCATCTTGGCCACTATGGCGATCTGACGCGTCAATGTGATTCTGATAGTAGTCTTTCATTTCTTGGCTGTAACCGCCTGCATCATCATCATCACCGTAGCTCTCCTGGTTATTACTCGTGTGATCATCCTCATATATTTGAGCATCATCCACATACTCCACCTGTCTGTCGGAATTGGCATCTGCGTATTGTACCGCCATCTGGCTAATTTAGTATGCTTCTTATTTATGACCAAGGGGAAACCTACGCGATGATAATCAAAATCATAATGATCAAGACTCTGATGCTCATCTTGCTCATCTTGTGCATCACGCTGAGCTAAGTGTTCTTGCTCCTCACGTTTACGGCGTGCCTCCTCTTCTAATCGCTTTTGTTGAGGTGAGATCGGGACATTCATTTGGGGGTGCATGGCTTGAACAATTGCCAAATAACTGTACATGAAGTTACTCAGCAACACTTGGCTGTGGAGGGATCGGCGAGGGTTAGCCAGTTTGATATGTGCCATTCGATAGATTGCGCGCTCTTCCAAAAGAGGGAAGCGACTCCAATTGTAGTCAATATCTGGTTGCAGAGGCTTGTAAGGCACCATGTCCTCGGGGACATGCAGTAATTGCTGGTACTTTTTATTCTTTTCCTTCTCTTCTCGCTTCTTGCCTCCGCCGAAAATTGAAGAGAATAAACTTCCATCTTTTTCTTTCTTTGAATCGCTCTTTCGATTGCTTTCTTTCCTTTTCTCGTCTGAAACTTTATTGTCGGTATTTTCTCGGTCAAGAACTAGGCTTTCACGGCCCTTGGTCGTGTTCTTCTCAATTGAAGTCTGAATCACATCCAGTCGCACATTGTCCTGAGCTTTTTCAGATAAGGATTTATGCCTGGATTTCCTGCTTTCTTCCTTCTTTTTGTCCCTATCATCCGCCACACCCTTGAACCACTTCCAAGCGCCTCCAGATCTCGTGGAATTGTGAGAGTCTTCGTCTTTGTCTTTGTCTTTGTCTTTGTCTTTTCTAGACTTCTTATCAGATTTTTTGTCATCCTTTGAGGGCGCAGGAGTAGCATTTGGCGTTTCGGTATGAGTAGTGTTACCATTTGAAATACTTGACGGAGCTGAGTTAGCACCGGCGCTGCTGGTCTGTATTATGGTAGGAATAGAAGGTTTCGCAGGTCCGGGTGGATTGTTATTGCTAACAGACCCAGTATGGCCGAGCGGAGTATGGTAGCCCAAACTGCCTTGTGAAAATTCTTCCATAGTCTCTGACGTAGATTCTAGCCCGGATTCTGTTGTCGCTGGAATAATCTGGGAAGAAGATCGCTGTGGAAACTTCTCTGGATGCCGGTTATCTTGAGAGGCGGCTGGTCTATCTTGCGCTGGAATTCCATTAGCAGATGAGTTGAGCTGGGCTGAAGATCCTCGGGCGGAGAACTCGGAGTGGCGTGTCGATGCTGGTGAATTGTCGATATCTGCTGATACCACATCTCGATCTTCCGAATATCTCTCGTGTCTTCGATCTGGGCGAGTAGGTCTTGAGAAGTTCTCATGTGAAGACTCTGACTGCACTCTAACTAACGGATGTTCCCGAGGGATATCTTCAGTTGATATAAAAGGGGCTTCTGAACTCTCGCCGCTCTGTTGACGTTGTGCCATTCGCTTGGAAAAGGACCCTTTGTCTCCAAATCGCAAAGTGCCCCCCTTTCGATATGTCGTGCGAGTTGATCTCCGTAATCCGCTACTGGGTGCAGCAGGGAGGATAGGCATGTCATCCATCCCAGTTTCTAAGCTGCCTGAATAGCTATGGGACTCTTGAGCAAGTCTTTGAACTGCCTTTGAAGGGTCTTTTACCAGCTCGTCTAGACTCAGTTCCCGATCTTGCTGGCTATCCATGAAATCATGCTTCTCTGATTTGTCTGTGCCGTCTGCGGATCCTTCAAATGTTCGATCCTCAAGGTTGTCAAGTTGACGTGAAAGCATAGACTTCTTTCTTCTTAATGATGATGAGCCCATAGAATCAGAACCACCGCCGTATTTTTCATCCGAGACAGAAAGAAAGGAATCTCCCGATCTCCTCCGTATTGATTGAAGGCGACTTGCCAAGAATGTCTTGAACTCGGTAGGCGCTAGCTCTGGGTGTACTCTAGCAGGCACCCAAAGTAATCTCGAGGGGTCGTTCTCGTCGTCGTCTCCACGGGGTGCAGCAGCTGGCATGGTTGCCAGGGACATTGGAGGCATATCTGGATCAATACTGTTGCCCACATCCATAGATAAACGCCTCAGTGCTTGTAAATTACTTAGCTCCTGGGCGATGTCATTTGGATTATCTATATTGGTCAAAGGAAACTCTCGGAGTGATAGAGTAGGAGATGTTAGGGGCATTGTGTCCTGATCCCGTTGGTCGCTCCATTGGCTATTTCCTCTAACGGGGCTCTTCTGGGGAGATTTCGCATTTCCATTGTCGTCGTAAGATTTTGACTGTGGCCGCACATCGGATACTGGCTGTAGAGAAAGATTTGGCAACTTGTTTGAGTGCGACAGTTTGTCATTGCGCTGGTGTTGCGACTGGGCTATGTGTTCTTGGTACGCCATATCCGTCATAAAGCTGAGCGGACGACTCGTGTCGGAACCGCCGTCTTCATCTTCATCGTATAAGTTTCCGATCGTTTCCGTTACATGGTGGCTAGGGTCCGAGATTGAGAGTTGGCTGGAGTGGCCACGCCGTGGGGAAAGGGAGCCGGCAAATTCGCCATGAAGTCGAGATGATGTCTATCCTCCGATGTCATTAGCGACTATCGCAATGTCGGAATCGTTGTCATTCTAATTATGCTTAGATTATTTTTGGCCATAGCCATAGCATACCGACGTGTTCCATTCTACATATGAAATCCGCTTCGGTAGCGTTCACGGCACTGAGCAATCACTTCCACCGGAGAGAACATACCATCATCAAGAATGGCGCGAAGGCCGTAAAGGGGCGGAAGCCCCGGGCAAAGGCCGGTACTAACTATGGGCTTTAACTTCAGACACGCAACCCTTCGCTACTTGATTTTGGCTTAAGCATTCAGTGAGATGCGTGCGCGGTAAGTTGAGGGACCATCCAGCAACGGATGGTGGGCCAAGTGAACACCTCCTGAGCGGGTTGTCTTCAGAACGTCTATCGCCACATGAGGAGGCCGTAAATAGAGAGTTTCCAAGGTGGTAATGCGACAGGTGTAGCTTGATGGCAAGGAAAGAGAGCGTTGATCATTAGGCATGGGCGCGAATCTCCTGAGACAGCGCTTCTTCAGACAGCGAGGACATAAAACGTGGACCGTCAATGCGAAGCACATGACAGCATATCATCCCTGGTACCTCCTAGATAGCCCATACGCCATGGCTGCCGAAGTACCCAGGCAAAGCCTACTAGTATGTTTACACTACCAGCATGAATATAGAATATTATACTAATTTAATTTCAAAAACTAGCATATAAACACTAGTTATATAACTTATAAGTAAAGGTAGTTTAGTATATAAAAATAGTATATATATGTATATATATATGTGTGTGTGTGTGTGTGTACTAATATAAAATAAATAAAAAATAATCTTTTATTATATTAAAATTAAAATTTAAAAATTAGTTAAAATTTTATTTACTTATATTCTTAATATTAAAGCTAAAAACTAAAATTAATCTATAAAGTATATATAAAGTAACTTTAAATAGTTCTAAAATAACTATATAAGTTTAATCTTTAGAGACTTACTTCAGTAGTAGCTTTAGTGACTTCTAAACATGCCTTATCTACTAGGTGGGTAAGTAGCTTCTAGTATATAATATACCAACATCTACGTTTAAAATGGCCTATATTCAGGACAGGGCCTCTCTTAATATTATCGACTCTTCCTGTCCACCTGTTTTTCAGACACCTATCAAGCGTATAAATCAAACAGAGGATGTCCAAAGATTTCTCGCCAGTGAAGCTTACCGAGACATTGGCCTATTTATTCTTCAACTCAACCGCGCCATTTGCCCGCGACAACTAGCTGGTTCCTCTCTCTCTGTATTTCCCCTTGGATCGAAGGCAACATCAACGGGCTCCATTCAGTCGTTACAGACACTTCTATCCTGCATCCGCACTCTCATTGGTAAAGCGCCTCCAGATCCTGGGTCCCACAGATTTGGAAATGTGAGCTTTCGCACATGGTTTCGACTCCTCACTGCTGAGTTGGATAACTTGCTGGACAACGGGCTGCTTGCAGGAACTCTCCGGGTAGGCAACGGGCATGCTAAAGACGAGGTAGCAAGCTATTTGCTCGGATCCTTCGGCAGCCCGCAGCGCCTCGATTACGGTACAGGGCATGAGCTCAATTTTATTGCTTTCCTTGGGTGTCTATGGAAGTTGGGGCATTTCAAGGATGGTATACAAGGCGGGCACATTGAAAGGGAAATCGTGCTCCTGGTTATTGAACCGTAAGTAATGGACAAACGACGAAACCGGCAATAAGCTTACTTCTTTAGGTATATCGATATCGTGAGGCAACTCATTACGACATATACCCTTGAGCCAGCTGGCTCCCATGGCGTATGGGGCTTAGATGACCATTCGTTCATTCCGTATATATTCGGGTCTGGACAACTTACTCGTCCAATCATTAGCGAAGATGACCCTATGCCCACTGATGGCTCTGTCAGAGGCGCACCGAAACCAAGCGATATCACCAACCCCAGCGTTGTCGAGGATATGAGACAGCGTAACATGTATTTTTCGGCCGTTGCATTTATCAACGATGTTAAAAAAGGCCCATTTTGGGAGCATAGCCCGATGCTCTTCGATATTTCTGGCATAAAAGACGGATGGGGCAAAATTAACAAAGGGATGATCAAAATGTTTAACGCAGAAGTTCTATCAAAGTTTCCTGTCATCCAGCATTTTCCTTTCGGTACGCTATTCGCTTGGGATGAGAATAGACCAACATTAGATTCAAGGCAACATAGGGCGTCTACCAAATCGCAAAATCACGTCGCTTAATCCCATGGTCACCACTCGCAAGATACAGGGAGCGAGGTAGGGGAGATACCAGAGGTATCGCCCCGTAGAATCGCACCTGTTGCAAAAGATGACTGGCCAGGACGATGACACAACCAAAAGTCAAGCTGGGGTGGCAGAAGATATGACCCGTCTGTGGCTGTATGCTAACTGGCAAACTTTCGCTAATTCGATGTGGATAAAAAACGCGTCTACATGTGTATAAGACGGCAATGAGGATGGTAGTGCTGCTTCTTGGCTATATATTCACCACGTTGAGAGGCGACTGCAGCATAACACCCATACCCGAAAAATATACTTCTCAGTGTTACAAAAGATTACATTTCCGATCTAAAAGAGCGGTTGAAACTGAAGAGGTAGCAAAATAACTAAAACCATAGGAAAGCAGCAGACAGGGCCGAATAGTCAATATCACCGGAGAACCAGCTTGGCTACGCTGTGAATTCGGTCCTTTATTTGTCGCGTTGTTTTTGGCCGAAGAAATCTGTTATTCTTTGGACGCCTTGGGGGGCTGGCTTAATGCGTCTTTTCTTCGACGGAGGAGTGTAGCAGCTATCAGCCTCGTGCTTCCTTTCAGGTGAATCTCGCTTGTTACTGGGAAAATCAAGATGCTGTTCATCGTCACTCTCACGTTTTTTTGTCTCGCCCGGCGTTTCTGACTTTTCTGCGAATGGATTGTCGGAAACTCTAGGGAAGAAGTGGGTGATGCCATGCTCGTCGTCATTGTGAGTCAACGGCATAATAAAAGATGGAGAGCTACGGCCAACTCTTCCAACGTCCCTGTTAACGGGGTATATATCTAGCTCTCCTTGGAAGGGTTTAAGTAAGGACTGAAGGTCACCAGTCCATCTTTGCTGTAATGGATAAAGCCATTGGTGAAATTCCTTAGAACCAGCATCAAAAATAACCGGCATACGGTTATGCAAGAATCGTAGCTGTTGGTTTGAGTCGGTCGTGATTATTGCGTAAGTATAAGTTCTATTTCCGGCGTCTTCCGCGACAATGTCAATGGCGAGCTAGCAAGTTTGTATCGCATGTTCAATATCATACCTTGATGCTGAATGGAGTCCCATAGCCCAGCAAAACACATTAGGTGGCCATCTTTTCGTTTTATAAAATATGGATGTTTTTCCTTGCCTCTTACATTGAGCCATTCAAAGAACCCTTGTGCAACAACAATGCATCGTTTGCGGGCCTTAATTGATTGCCACATACCACCCGTGGTCCTAAGAGAGTCATCTCTGCAGTTTATGACTCCGCGGCTAGGAGCGTTGTTCTGCTTCGACCACGAAGGTAGTACTCCCCACTTCATTGACTGTAGAATATATTTGATGACTTCATCACGGCCCTCAGGACAGGAACCTCCTTCTATGGGGCTTTTATTGTCAGAAGCAAAGTGACGTTTGCCCTTTACTTCAACACCGCTGGGGGAAGCATCAGCTCTACATACAACGCCAATACTTCCCGGAGCAAAGTTATAGGTTTGATGGTGGGCTTCGCTGCTTCCGTTCAGTGATGCATATTCTGTCTGAACGCCATCGTCTTCTAACATTTGCTGGATTAAGGAAAGTGGCTAGAAGAGACTTAGCTATAATATATAAACAGTTCCCTTTGACCTTAATATCTAACTTACTAGAGCTAATGAATACCTGCCACACATGATTTTATGATTATTGGCTTAAATATATATATATATAATCTTAATGCCCGCTTAAAGCGTTCATAGTGGTGAGCAAAGCTGCTGCACTGATCGAAGTCACCTTGTTCGATCGGAGCCGCCTATTTTAATTGAAGTTAAGCGATTTGATTGAGGTCAACAGGATCATTTGAAGTTACCTTGTTTAAACGAAGCTGCCTATTTTAAACGAAACCGCCTTACTTAATTAAAGCCACTTACTTAGGAGAGCAGGCAGGCAGATAGGTAAGTTACCTTTGCTTCCAGTATATTCTTTTTTTCCTGCCCTTTATAATTACTTACTTTTATAATAAAGATTTATATAAATCTATAGCTAAAAAATAAAGCTTTCTTTTATATAATATCTATTATAATTTTATTAAATATTAATTAATAATTTATTTTTTTAATAAAGTTTTAATTTTTAAAAGTTTTATAACTTTTATAAATAATTATAATATAATTATTTATTTATTTATTTACTTAAAATACTTTAAATATTTAAAATTATTATTAAAATTTATTTTTAATATAATTATATATATTAAAAAAACTTATATTAAATTAATAAAAAGTTTTATAAAGTTTTATTTAAATTTATTAAATATAATAATATTAATTTAAATTTATTTTAATATAAGTAATTAAATTTAAAAAACTTATAAAAGCTAATATAAAAGAAATTATATTTTATTTATAATTTAATAATTAATTAATAAATAAAAAAATTTAAAAAAAAATATTATATTTAGTTTTATTAAATTTAATAATATTAATAATATTAAATTATTAAAATTATTTATAAAATTTAAAGTAAAGTTTTTATATTAAAAATAAATTTTTTTTTATATATTATTTATTAATATAATATTAAAATAATAATAAAGTTATATATATAAATAATAAAATACCTTAATATAATTAAATTATATATATAAAATATTTTTATATTACTAAAAAAGTGTTTATAAATTTAATTAATTCTCTTAAAACTTAAAAGAAATATACTTTTTTTACTATTTATTACTTTATTAAATAATAATAATTATACTTTATTATATACCTTTAATTTAAAATTCTTACTTATTTAACTTATTAATATTTATTTATTAATAAAATTAAATTATTTTATTTATTTAATATAATTATTTCCTTTATTTATTTATTTAATATAATTATTTCTTTTATTTATTTATTTACTTATATTATTATAATAATTATTTTATATTTTTAATTAAATAATATTCTTTTATTAAATAAAATATTTATTAACTTAACTTTTTATTATTAAAAAAAAAAGCTATACTTAAGAATATTTTTAAATATTAAGTAAATTTATAAATTTAATATTTATTAAAATAAGTAAATAATTAAAGTAAATATAAAATATTTAAAAACTTAATTAATTATTAAAATAATAATAAATACTTAAATTAATAAATTTAATAATTAATATTTTAATAAAATATATAAAATATTTATAATTATTACTTTAATAAATTAAGTAATTAATTAAATTAATTATATTATTAATTTTATTAATATTAATAAATAAATTAATAAATAAAAAAATTATAGTAATATTAATATATATAACATTTATTTAAATAAAAAAAAGTATATTATTAAAGTTACTTAAGTAAAATTTATTTTTATTATAGTAAATATTAATTTAATAAATAAATTTATATATATTTATTTAATTAAAAAAAGCTATATTATTACCTTATTAAATAAATAAAAAATTATCTTTAATAAAAATAATAAAATAATATTACTTTAATAATTTTATAAAAGCTTTTTAATTTTTTTTTACTTTAATAAAAAAGTTATTTTCCTTAATATTTATTAATTAAAGTTTAATTAATATTTTTTAATTATTATAAAATAAATATAACTTTAATTAATATATAAAGTTTATTTATAAATTCTTTTAATTTATTATTTTATTTTAATTTATAATTTTACTTTAATTTATTATTAAATAAATATTTTACTTTAATAACTTTTATTAAATTTAAATTATTTTTAAATATATTAAATTTTAAAATACTTAAAGTTAAATATAAAAAAATAATTTATTATAACTTTAGCTATATTAATATAATTAATTAATAAATAATTTTAATATTTATTTAATAGCTTAATAAATAATAATATAAAATAATTAAAAAAACCTAAGATTAAAAATTAATAAAAGCTTATATATAAGAGCTTTTTAATTTAATAGTAAATAATAAAGCTTTAAATAATAAAATAATTACTTAAAATAATATAAATTAATTTATTAATAATATTTATAAAAATATAATTATAATAAAATAAAATAAAAATATTTATATTAATTTACTATAGCTATTAAAAATATAGCTTAATATTAATAAAAATAATTATTATAAATATAAAAAAAAACTATTATTTATATATTTATTAATAATTAAATTAAAGTTTTATAAATATAATTTAAATTAAATTAAATAAAAGCTATTAATTAAATAATAATATTTATTTATATAAATAAGAATTATAAATAAAGTAAAAATATTAAAAATTAAATATTAATGTTTTTTTAAATAATATATATAATAAAATTTATTATAATTATATAATAAATAACTTAACTTTACTTATATATAAGCTTAAGTATATAAAAACTTATTTTTAAATTATAAATAAATGTAATTAAAAATAAATTTATTAAATATTAATAAAATAAATAATAAGTTAAATATATAATTTTAATTAATACATAAAGAAATAATAATACTATAATATATTAATTAATAAATATTTTATTAAATAATAAAATATAGCTAAAATAATTTATAATATTATTTATTTAAGAAAATTAAATAAATAAATTAATAGCTTTATATATAAAATAATAAATAATAATAAAAGTAATTATATTAATTAAATATAAATTAAAATATTATTAAAAGTATAGCTTAATTTTAATTATATTATTTATAAAAGAAATAATTAATAAAATTAAGGTTATTAATTATTTATTAATAAATAATAAAGTTTATAATATAAATATAAAAAATAAAAAACTTATTAATATAATATATAATATTATAATTATTAATTATATTAATTTAATAAATAATATTATTATAAATAATTTAAATTTAATAATATTAATTTTATAATTAATATATATATAAATATTAATAATAATAAAGCTATAAAAATTAAAGTAAAACTTAAAATTTAAAGTTATTAAATTATTAAAGAATTTAAATAATTAAAAAATAAATATATATATATATAATTTAAATTAAAATTAAAATTATATATTTTT